TGTTTTTCAAAAAAGGCTCTGGTCAACTTGTAAATGCTTTATGGACTATCCGAGTAGAATGACCAAAATAGGGAACTTACAGGGGCCAGGGAGGCAGAACGAAGGGACTGAAGCGTGGTCAGAGAGGTGAGAAATCTGGGGTCAAATTAAAAGTGAAGGGGAAGCATAATTCTCCAATTAACTTGTTTTGTTTCCCACAACACACATCTGCAGGTCACACTTGCAGAGGAAGGCAGTGTTTGCATTCCAGTGGCCAACCACAAACTTAAGCACACTAAATGCAAGATATGGAAGTAAAAAACGCCATGCACTATGACAAGCAGATGTCTTCCATCACTTTAGAATGGCATCTATCACTTTGCACTTTGGGAGAACACTTGTGCAAAAACAAAAACCCATTATCAACCTACTGTCTAGTTTGACACTCGATTTTTCTGGTCCCCTCATGTATCTGAGGTACATTCACAGAGATGGCCATGTATATTGAGAGTTGTGCATCTCTCTACAGGATGTTCTCCTTGAATTCTTCATAAGGTCATCTGAACGCATGGCATTTGACAGTGGGAAAAGGCAGCACTTTCCTCTTGCACATCTATCCATCAGTGTCAAATTTATGGCCCAGACAGCAAAGCCAAAGTCATCGTCCTAACTAGATAGACATGTACCCTCGAAGGGGCACGGGAGAGGCGCAACAGCAGGTCTGCTCCTTACAGAAACAGGACAGGAAGCATGGCAGAGAGGCAGACCCCTGAGAGGATCAATCTCACAATGCATGGAGGAGAAAGTAGGGAGAGGCCAGGGAGTCAAAGAGGCCAAGTTCCTATGAAAAACAAGCTTCCCCTCCCCCCAGATAAAAGGGAGAGATGGGTGGGTTCCAAGTCACGAGTCCAAGTCATTGGGGGGATGGGGGGGGAACCCTGCAAGTTGAGTCACCGGTGCTACTTAAGTCCAACTTGGCTGCGAGTCCTCTCTGACTCACATTCTCCCCCACACAAAGAGAAGATATAAGGCTCCCCTGTCCTCTACTCCCAAATCTCCTTCTGGTCACTTGGGTTAGAGAAGCGCTACGAGGCACACTGCTCGGATACTGCCAGGCCGACCATTTCCAGGCAAAACATCTACAACGCCCAGCTCCACTTATATTTTAGAGTGGAGCAGGTGGGCTGTTCCAGCATGGTTATGTACTATTCTGTTGCTTCTTGCGTGCTTCCTTTAGTCTTTCAAGAAACCAAAACAAACCTTTCTCTTTTTTTACATTACCCTTGCCTGCCCTCATGGCCTCTTGAGCAGCCGGTTCTTTCTCCACCCCTGTCTCTGCCAGGAAGGTTTTTCCTTGCAAATTTCTGTGCGACCAGCTGAGGTCCTGGGACAAGGCAGGCCATAATCGGTGGCGTGCCCTGGCTCCCTTCTATCTCTGTCCTCATTTATTGCAGTCTCTCTCATACACACACTCTTTTCCATGAAGCTATTAGGGATTTCACACACCACGACTCAGATGCAGCAAAGGACTGCCGGTTAATGATAATGTAATAAAGAATATAATCTTTCCTTCAGAGTTTGTTGGCAGTGATTTATGAGTAAGTAGTTAAACACCTTTGGGGCATCATATCAGTTAACTGAATGGATTTATGAGTGCAGACGTGTGAAAGAAGCACGTGCAGATTTATAGTATGCACCCGTTTGCTCCAAAGGTCAAAGAGCTGGAATGTCAACTGCAGGGCGGAAATTTATGTGACTTCCTGTTATTTTGTGGGGGAAAGACAGAACTAGCTGGCAAACTCAGTCTTGACCACGAGAGGGTAGTGGAGGTTAAATGATGCAATGGAAATCCTGTGCCACTGTGAATGAGTTTTTCTCCTTTCATGCAAGCGTCTCTACCACTTTAAATTGCACAAAATATTTGTAATTGTATGTAAACGTGGTTTTTTGAGTTTACAAACATTTGAAGGGAAAAAATGGAAGGCACAAGGTAGCACACTTACTGTGCCAGTTTTACTGTGGTAACCTGTCAAAACAGCTTTACTCAACATACATTTCTCTCATGTGTAGTGGAGACTGTTTTATCTGCCATAACTTATATTGCTGCAATTATAACTCTGGATGCTTGCTCTAAGAATGATATCACTGAGTTTGTTGGGAATAAAGTAGATCAAAAGCAAAAATATTTGCAAGCTATAGGTATATTTGCTTAATATTTGAATAACTTATTGTATTTAGCTTTTAATATTATGTTTTTAATGATGTAAACTGCCTTGATCCTTTTTTAGGAGAAAGATGGGGCAAAATATTTTAAATAAATAAATATAAATAAATAAAAATAGAGCAGCGGCTAGAGCAGTGGACTAGGACACAAGAGACCTGGGTTCGAATCCCTGCTGGGCCGTTAAAGCTCCCAGCAAGGTGGGTCATTTCTCACTCGGTCAGAATCTTCTACTCTTTTTTGTTGTGGATCTTTTTTTAAAAAAGTTGTGTTACTGCATGTGTGAACAATCTTATTGCAACTTTGTTGAACTACTGTCACCGTTCGTGTCCTTTTAAAATTAGTGTCGATATGTCGGTTAATTTCTTTCAGACGGTCTCAACAAGAAGCTCTAGGCACTTACTGAAGTGGAAGGAAACGACTCAGTAACCCCAAAACACATTGGGAGGCAGATCCTGGAATAAATACCATGTGGCTTCAAAACATGACAGGAACTGCTTAAAAGTCACGTAACCACAGGAGAACATTTCGCTGGTGTGACCACAGCCATTGCGCTCCAGGTGCCTCGGCAACATGAGGTGAAGTGAAGGCTACCAAGGAGAGGCCCTTTTCATTGTGGTGCCTTGGCTGCAAAATGCTCTCCCCACATAGGGTTGCCAGATACATGGGTACCAAAAGGAGGACATGGAAAGACAAAAAAGGAGGACGGAGGAGGACGTATTGAATGTTTCATTTAACAAGCAGGAAGGGGGCATACCAAGAAACAGCGGCTTCCGATTGAGTGCAAAACAAATAAAACCGAACCCACCCCGGCCCGGCTGCGGGATCCCCTGGCCGTTTGCACTCTGCACAGGCTCAGAGGAAACCTTGCTAATCTGGATGCCCAAACAAGGCTCCGGCGCAGGCAGGGGGAAAGTGGTGCTGGGCAAAGCTGAACGAAGCAGCCTCCCCTCCCCCAAGAGTCATAAGTTGAAGGCTGGGGAGTGTGGGAGTTGGAGTCCCCAAAAGGGACTTTGAACACATACACAGTCCAGACGCTCACTTCCCATTGATGTGCTTGGGCGCTGCTTGCTCCTGCCTGGCTCGGCGGGTGGCACTTCACTCGCACTACCTTTCTGGGCTCCACATTGGCTGGGCAGGCATGACAGATCGCCAAGTAGCCATGACGGCAGTGGGAGGGGGCGAGGGCTGCACTCTGGTGCCAGTGACAGGTAACTGGGGGGCGGGCAAGTGGGCATGGGCAAAGACAGGGGGGTCCTTCCACCTTTCCCCCTCCTATCCAAAATTATAACATAAAATATACAAAAGCTGGACATTTTAAAGGTTTTTATCTTTGCCTGCCAGATGGAGGACATTAGGCTAAAAAGGAGGACATGTCCTCCTTTTGCTGGATGTCTGGCAACCATATTCCCACATCCACTTGTGTTCTCTTCAGCACCATGAGGAGACCTTTCAGTTTCCTGGGGCTTTTGAAACATAACTTTTTAAAAAAAAGATGTAATGTTCTTTTGAAAATGGTGCCGACAACAGGGCTTGATACTTTGAGATAATTGTTCTTCCTTTCCTCTGGCAGCATTTTTAATGCTGTACCTTATATTCTTAGTCATATGATTTAGATGTACATTTTAATGTTTTGATTGATACTGCAGATTTTCTAGAAAACCTGGCAAGATAAAACTCTGTTAGAGATAGATAAATGCATGTATACATACTGCAGAAGAAAAACAACATCAGTTGAGAATTGTATCAAGAAGTAAGAAGTAAGAATTTGTTGTTCCTATGGTAAATACCTAATTTTCATACTTGAACAGGGAAACCAACATTTAATGAGACTTGGAAGACAGAACTTTAATACTGGAGAACTTATGCAAAGTCTTTTTTTGACCTCCAAGTATACTGGGCTGAGAATGAGTGAAATCTCCTCACAAATTATTGAGAGAAAATTTCCATTTACCGCTACCTGGATCAACCTCTGTCCGTTACGCTTGACAGTATTGCCTGCCTCTTCCTGGTCGGTCATATGAAAGCATCCTAAATGTTTCCATTCTTCTGTGGGACACACTTTTGTTTAGAAAGAAGAAACCCTGAGTCATATTGTACAGCAGGGGACAA